CCGCAGTCAAAGTAAATACACATAGAAGAGCAGACACATGCCTCGTTAGAGCGTCTGAAGGGTGGGTGAATATCAGAGGCAGCTCGTCAGGCAAGCCCATTTCTGCCCAACTGGCTGCCAACATTCCCGCCTGCCTGCTGCAGCAATCAACAACAACAACAAATACAAGAAAACACATCTAAGCGGCGTCCGAACACAGAAAAAAAGTTCCCCAACGGCAGCTGGGTGTTTATGGTAACTATTTGCAAAATCGGTTGTGCTAAATTAAAAGACTAATTAAAACTAAAATATTCCTATGGAAAAAAGTTAGATCATATGACTTTTAAATAAAGGGCTGCCAACGGGAAGCGCCGTGCTAAAAATAATTTGAGCCAGGAAGCAATTTAAGAGACACTAATCAATTGAAAAGACCAATTAATAAACTACATCTGCCAATTGAATATCAATTTTATTATATACTTTCATATTTGAATTTATCTAAAATTTTAAATAACTTTTAAATCACTTATTCGCTCGAAGATGTTAATTTTGATATTTAAACAGTTAAAAATATTGAGATTCTCTTATTTGCTTGAATATGAGGAAAGTAAAGGTACTAGACAACTAGGGTTAAATAAACTAGGGTTAAATAAATAAATGTATTTAAGTAACGACAACTGGAACGAAATTAAAGAAATACAAACCTTAACAAAGCCATAATTATGATGACCACATTCTATCTATCAAAACGGAATTCAAATAAATATGTTCCAAAGTGAGTTTTAAATTGTGCTTAATATTGCGTTTTTATCTTCAACTAATTAATTAATCATTATTGTTTTTGTCGATTCACAATCACTTATGAAAGTCGAACACACGAGTATGAAATGGATGAATACGAATCCCTAGTAACTGAGCATTAAGATTTAAGGATTATTGAGTTTAAAAAGTATACAAAACCATAGTTTTAAAATAGTTTTGTTTCTTGTGTAGAACACAAATATTATTTTGAAGTAAGCACGACACAGTCATACACGATGGTTTACCATTTTTACAATGAGCCTTCCTCAGAACCAAGTTTGGATGATAACCGCTCTCTATGAACAAGTTGTGGTCACTAATTTTAAGTGCAATTTAAAGAATTATAGCCTAGGAACTTGGAGTACCAACAATCGAATAGATTTGAATTTACTAATGAATTTTCTAATCTATGGAACACATCAAAGTTAATTAAGATCCCATAACTTTTAGAATTCTAAATCAATTTCAATTCTAATCCAAATAATGCTATTAACTATTCTAGCCGAATACAGAGTGAAATCTTTAAAATTGCTTGTAACGTTCAACCGGAACTTTAAATTGATTTGATTACTGCATAACGTTTGATCAATCCAAAATGCGTGCGGCGCAAAAAGTGATGTAATGACGGAAAACGGAATTCTTTTTAATGAATAACAAATATGACAATGGCATTGGCATTGGGCCAGCACATCGTTGGTTGGCCACAACGAGTGGGAAGCAGACACATGCCATCAAAATTAATTTAATTAAATTTCACTTTGCGTTCTCGATGGCAAACAATTTATGCAAGAATTTGTGTGCATGTAGACACACACTCATACGAGCACACTCATACATAAATGCATTTGAATATACTCGTATATATTGTTTTTTTGAACAGATATAAATGCTGTTAGTGCGTGTAATTCAAATGTACGATTCTGAATAAATCGTTGGTAAATAAAACAAATATGAAACTTGTTGAAAAAATGCGCGACCAAATATTTAACAATGCGGTCTTTTTGAGCGTTATAGGGTTATGGCGTTTAATGCATTTTATATGCGGCGTTATTGTAGGTTTGTATATGTATGATCAACAAGTTTTTCAATTTCAGGTTGCTATCAATGGCCACGAATTTTAAACTCATAGAAAAAAATACCCATTAGCAATCAATTGAAATTTTCAGACTGGTATTAAATTTGTGGCATCTTGGAACAATTTAAATTTATGATTTAATTGTCAGTGAATTTTTTAAAATACTTGTTTTTGAAATTCTTCTACAGGTCAATAAGTTTACTTTATAACACTCCCAATAAAAAGTTTTAGTGTTTTTGAAAACATCAGTTATCACGTCTTTTGTACTAAACGTACGCAAACCCCCCGCGCAGAAAAGTATGCTATAAAATTTGTTTGAAGCATCACCAAACCAAATTCTAGAATGTTTACCAATACCAATTCTTTAAAAACGCCTAATACGCTAATTTCTTGTAAGTTATGTAATAAATTGTATTCAAAAATTACTTTTGAATGCATTTTCTATTCTATTGGCTTAAATTTGTACAGCTGACATAAATAATTGCATCCAGTGAACAAAAATTTAATTTAACTCTCGCTTTCGCTCATATGCATATGAATTTCGCAGGGCTTTAATAAATATATAGAGTAGTTAATACTTTGGCAGTTTGTTATGTTTTATTAAGTCGTTCATAATTTCAGAACAATGGCAAACACTGTGATTAAATACTAGCTTATGAGAGTGAGCTGAACACACAACTAACAACTTAAGCTAGGATTAAAAACGCATAAATGACAATTTCAATGAATTTTATTTCGCAATTAATTTAACTTTTGAAAAACTTCCCAACCCCAACGCAACAATTTTAAGCACTCTGACTCATGGGACATTAATGAATACACTCTGACATATAGTATATGCGAGTCGGTTATAATTCCAAGCTGACAGTTGCAAAGAAGCAGACGGGCACGTTGGAAAACACATAAATGGACAAGATGACGAACAGTAGTTTAAAATATCATTTAGTTTGGGCTGTCGTTTCAATTCCCATTTCCTTCTGTACGTGTGTGCTGCAAGTTGGTGTATACGTATCTCTATATATGTATATCTGCGACTGTTGATATGAACATTATGACTGGGCATAATAATTTCATTTCATAGCATGTTTGCTTTAAATTAAAAAGCTTCAATGATATGCACAATTGGCAAATTATGCAATTATCTTTTTATTCTGTGCACACTTTTAATGAATAAAAGCAATCGGCGCAGAGATTGGCATATTTGCATTTTGTATTTCCACAAAGCACTTTACATTATGGCAACACAACAATTTATGCATCACTTCGCATCACAACAATACTTCAATGTTGAACGAACCATAGGCACAAGTTGCAAGGACATTGATAACGAAAGCAACGGCCATTATATGGCACAATAACAAACCGAACTGAAAACTTTTACATTGTTCTGAAGCCCACTTTGGCGTTAAAAGCAATTTGTAACGCATTACTAAAATATAAAATATTTGCATACATAACAAATAACCCATTAAGCATGAAATTTGTGAAAAATTGTACTCAAAAAACGGCTTCATACCGACTAATGGCAAACGCTTAAAAAAGAACACCCGCCACTAAAACAGACCCACGTTGCTATGCACCTGTACGACAGATAACTGCCAAGTCTTGATGGTAGTGCAAATATTGCAATGGTTATATTAAACATTTTAAAGTATGCGCAGCTGGAGCTTTAACTTATTGGGGACTTCCCATATTTTACTTTAAATATAACACAGAAGTTGGCTTTTACAATTTTGGTGAACTAAAAGAAATCCCATAAAATTAAACTAAAAACAGAGAGGACTAGTTGTAAGCTCAGACAAAAGTATGACGTCTTTTTAGTTTGTAATTGCATACAAAAATCATCTAATAATGTCATGCACCTCTGGCCATATATTGAAATCTTAAATCGCATATTCATACCTACAACCACATGTGGTATCTTACCACCAACGTCAAAAACCTAACGTAAATATAGACAAGTCATTGCATAATATTGTGATGCGCAAAAACCTGATCCCTCTGTACATTTGGTTTTAAAAGTACTTCAGGCGAAGCTATTCAGATTATTCGATTTAATGACACAGCACGGTAGATATAAAATAAATAAATTTGAGAATCCATCTGCGGATATCACTTCTGAAGTAACTACAACTTCTTGCCTACCAAAAATAAATTTAAATAATTTAAATAAAGCTTTAAATGAAGTAAATCTATTATGTGGACTGCCTTTTGCTGCTGGCTAAGTGATTAAGTTAATTATAAATTAATTAGTCAGACCCTCAAACAGCACAGCAAAATAAAATACAACAGCAACAACAAAGTAGGACCAACATTGGGGGCCGAAAGCAGACGCGCATCAACATCAAAGTATCAATAATTAATCGCCTGATAATGTTTTCAATTTCTTGCTTCATTAAGTTGTTTTATTTTTGCGCCTTTGCGTCCAACGCTTTGGCCGCAGGATTTTGCTTACTTAAAGGCCATGGCATTGACTGAAGAACCAGCGGCCTCTAAGTCAAGTTTATAGGTTTTGTTTTAGTTTTTCAACAATTTGTGGAATTAGAGCTTTGGGCTATCAATTGTTTGGGTTTGAGGGAACCAAACTTCAGATATACATGTACTCGTGGTACTAATTTACAAAAAAAAAATCAATATTCGCTCAAATTATTTCCCAATTTGTAATTGTTTTGAACATCACTAGTTGCGTTACATAAATATGTTTAAAGGAACAAAACAAAGCAACGGCCTTCAACGCAAGACCAGCACGCATTGAAATTGAACTTGAGCGAAGGACATCATCATGGAAATTGTAGAGTTTAAATTAAAATGAATTATGACAGACAGCCAAATGCGAAACACATAATACACATTTATATCATTTGATGGGAATGGGGATTTTAGAAATTGTGCAATGCCAGTTATTACACATGCTACGCTACTACACATTGAGCAGAGATGGACGGCTGACGGAAATAAAAAACTGAAACCGGATGTTCGCCTGACGGCCATGCCGGAAATTAAACTATTTGATAGCGCGCTGGCTTTCATAATAGCTATAGTAGTTGTGAGATATGTGTACGACTATGAGGAACTAACGCGAATGCTGTGTAACCCAAGTAAGTAATATGCATGCCAAAAAAAAAAAAGGGAAGCCTTCACTCACCTGTGCCCAAAAAGTTTTGCTCGAGTTTCAAGGTAAAGCATTTAAAGCTGAAGTTGAAGGTACTGCAGTGAGGCGCTTTAATTTTATTTTCTTGCACAGTTTTTGCACTTTTTCTTTTTTAGAATATGCGCGAGAATTTATTTAGCAGCACAGGTACCGAGTAATGTGTATGTTTATGTGTGCTTGTATATATATTTATATATATATGTGTGAATAGAATTGCTTAACGCGTTTAATTTTCAACACTTCGAAGCCAATAGCGCAGGCACTTCAAAGTTGCTGCGTCTGCGTTCGTTTTGGTTGCTGCTGCTGCCTCAGCTTCTGGTGCCTTTTGTTTGGCTACGTTCGCACACAGAGAGGAGGTAGCGACTTACACATACATACACATGCCTGTACACCCACACACCTTGACGATGAGTGCCTCAGATAGCATTGCAAAGCGCGCGCCTAGTCGTTTGAATGTCTGCAGGCAGCTTCCGCGTTCTGCGTCCTGTTCACGAAACGGCTCAACTCGAACTGTGACGACGCTCAGCTGCTGCGGACCAGCTAGCCAGCCTTCGCTTGCTTCGCTTCCTTCGTTTCTGCTGCTCTTGCGCTCTCTCTAACACACATACACACACACACAGGAACTCTCCCACATAAGAGCGTATCGTGTGGCTCGCTGGAAAGCGCCGCTGTAGGTACGTTTGCAAATGTGCTTGTGTGAGTGTCGGAGAAAAACCAGCTGGCGCAGCATTAAAAAGTAATATCAATTTCCACCTTCAAACGGCGGCGCGCACGAAAGCAACAGCTAAACGTTTTCCCTGGGTGCAGTGAGTGGTGAATGCGGCTCTTGGTTCAATGCTGGTCCGCCCCCAAAACGCCTTCGTATTAACGGTAGGTGCGCGCGCTCTTGGCGATTTCAAGTCTACACGCGCACACAATAAATAGTATGTGGAGAGTTTCATAATTGTTGCATGTCAATATTGCGTATACGCCAAGGTGCTTCGCATTTGAGAATTCAATAGGGATGAATAGGATTTTAATCTGCATACATATGTAAATCGGTGTATATGTAAATACCATGTAAATAATATGTGCATTAATCAATAAATAAATTTAATATTTTATTGCATATTTGTAATATATTTCAATTATTATACTTATTATTTAAATATGCAATTGTTGAAATAATTTACATAACTAGTAGTTTTGCAAGTCGATACAAATTAAAATGGTACACTCGAAGAATTTTAGTCGAAATGTAATTAACAGCTTCTTATAAAGCACACCCCAAAATTTAAATTCAACTTCAGTTTAGCTTCAGCTTACCATAAATATAAACCAACACACACATGCTGTAACACAGCTGTAACTCACGGTCGCCCTTCGCACATGGACACAAACGCAGAAAAAGCGCAACAGGACCAAAATAATTGCGCGTTAAACATGTGCCAGGAGAAACGAAGAGCACAAGCCGACGACAGCCTTGCAATCAGAGAGAGAGAGAGAGAGAGAGAGAGAGAGAGAGAGCGAAGACAAGTTGTAGCCGAGCAAGGACGAAGTGGGATGACGAGAGCACCGCTGGAAATATTCAACTGGTTGTGTTTTTTTTTCTTTTGCCTTTATAGCAAGCAACAGGATATGTTTCCAACATAAAAACATCGCCAAGGCAGAAACATCGCTACACACATAGCGAAAAATCAACAGAACCGACAATAACAACAAGTAATGCAAAAAAATCAAGTCCAATGAAGGCGCAGCAACCACTCGCGCGCTTTAAGCTTGAATACCAAAACAATTTCAAGGCACAATATAACTCACGTAAAACCAAGAAAAAAAAAATGCCAAGAAAAGGGAAAAAAGGAAAACGAAGGCAGCAGACATTTTTGCCAGCAACTGAAGGCCCAGCTTTGCGTGCCAGATAGGCCTGCAGGCGCTTGTTGAAAGACAAACTGCGTGCAGACATTAGAAAGCTATGAGGCATCGCGAAAGCGAGCACCGAGAATTACACTAGATGATAAATGTATTGGGAATAAATACATTCATATCTGATCAAAACAAAGAGACGAGTTGATGCCCCAATGTTAGTCTTCAATTCGTCTGTCTGTACTAAGAGTATTTCGAGAGCCAACAACAGGGTTTCAAAATGATTTTAGGTGAATTCAAAATTATATTGAAATTATAACTCACTTTGGCTTTTGTATACATAGCTGAACAATTTATGTTTATTGAAGAGCGAGGGAGAGGGAGAGAGGCGTGAAGAGGCGTGTTCAAGAGGCTGGCAAAGAGTATTCAAGACTTGGGCTGTCTTTTTCTTAATGCTTAGTCAAATTATAAATGCCCAATACTGTAGACAGTGCGCCCAGGTGATTGTACAAACAAAAACATCCAGTGCTGAGTGATGGTATCAAAATTTCTGGAAACGAGGCGAATGCCACAAGGTTAACATCGTTTTAGTTTTGTTGTAGCTCCTCTTGCCAAAAGGAAATACCGAAAAGGTACACGCACTGTGTGGCGATTAAGATGCCGACGTGTTGTTGCTGGCGCTGTCGACCTGGCCCACTGGGCTTATCGTGACAGACAAAAGGGAGACCAGGATAGGCAGGCAGGCAGGCAGGCAGGCAGGTGGACTGATGGACAACGGCGGCCAGACTGGCATGCACGCAGGCAAAGGCAGCTTATCAATTTGTATGCCCGCCTGCAGATATTTATTTATGAATATCCTTTGGATACTTAACCGCTGAGTGCTTTTCTTTAGGCGGGAAATGTTAGAGTGTTGTGCGAAAAGTTCCAGTCAGACGAGCACACGCCTTTATACCCTTTTCGAAATTAAATTCCAAATATTTCTGCCACACCTGCAAGCCCACAGGCTAGCACCCGAAGCCTTATGCGCCCTATGCGTGCGAACACATGCACGTGTATTTGTGCGTGTGTTTATGCCACACCTGACCACCTTTCCTCCTTCAATCCAGGTCCTTTTCATCTGTCTGGCATTGTCACGAAGCGTTGCTTAATTTTATTTTTATTGCAGATTGATTTTTTCAGATTAAGTTACGTTTTACAGCACTCGCTTTTTGGCCACTTTTTGCATTTATATGGGGACATTAAGCTGTTGGGTCGTGCGTAAAAGCTGCTGTATACTTTGTGAGGCAACAATGTCTCAATGCATCAGCTTCAGGAGATGTTTTAGTTTGCATTTATTTAAACAATATTGAAGTTGAAAGAATTCGTAATTGGTTACAGGAATATCGATTACGCTGTAAAATTAAACCCTAGCAACATACTTTCTTGTATTGTACTTATTACCATATTTTTCTTTTACATGGAAATCTAATGATATTGGCGTTGCTAAACAAAAAATTTTTGTTATATAAAGTCGACCACACGTTCATTATTATGACGCACTATTTTGCCATAAAATGGATCTGAGTTGGATTTCTTGAAGTTCCTTTCGGTAAAAGCTTTCAGTATTTCAGTAGCTTAAGTTTGAGTTTGTTCCTCAGTTTGCCACGCCACAACCATCATAACACAAGATTGATTCGAAAATTTCAAAGTTATCATAAATTATATTAAATGTCGAAAATAACAGATTAAGATTAAATATTAACCAAAGATATTATTAAATGATTTGATTGATTCCTGTGACCAAACCCACTGTCAAAATAAAATTTTTGTAGCCAACGGCTTTCTTTTCAAAAAAGTCATAAATGAGTGTTAAGTTTATTTCGCTTAAAAGTTATGAGTAATTGAATTATTAAATGCATTTTATGTCCTTCTTGACAGCATATTGCGTATTATACTGCGATTGATTGTTAGCTCGATACACATGCATGTGTATATATATAAGTACATATGTACATTTTTGCGACATTTATAATTAATTGAAGCCTGTCTAATAATTATCCAATTAGAAGAAAAAACTAAGCTACATATGTATAATAGAAATAAAATAGTATTTGTACTATCATACTTAGAAGTTTTTTAACGAAAACAGATAAAATTCTGTGCTTATATGTGCTTAATAATACAATACAAAATTAATGAGGAATATAATGCTGAACTATCTATTTTTCACATTCGGTAAAAGTAGTTTTAGTTGGTTTTTAATGTTCAAATTTATTTGTTCTATACGAAAACATGTGTTTTTTCTTAATCTATCCAAAACAAGACCGACTATATTTCCCATTCGGCACCTGGTATCATCTATCATTTAAGTTTTTTTTTTTCAATTTGTATTAATTTTTTTGTGAAGTAAAGGTACTCTTTGACCTTTAAGAGTTCAGACCTTTGAAATTTACTCAGAAAGAAAGACTTATAAACTTGATTATTCGCATTTTTAGTAATATTTGGAACTACTTATGCGATGGTTATGTGATATTTATTTACAGAGTCAAAATGCAATTAAAAACTAAATCCAACTGAATATAACTTACAATGTGAAATAAATGAGTAAAACTTAAAATAAATTGCATTTATTATGAGCTAACGAAAACACATAAGCAATATTAAGCTTTATTCAAGGCATTCGTAATTTATAATCTTATCAAGAGCTATCCAATTGGCATACTATATTCAAATTTTTACTCCGCAATTGAGTCAATGTTCGTTTGAGTGGAGAAAGTCTAAAAAGCTTAGAAGCAATCAAAATGCAATTGTTGTAACAAATTAACCAATATTTAACAGATATCTGTTTTCTGCTATCATCCCAAGAAGATAACAAAATTTTGTGTGGCCATTAATATGAGTGCGGTAAGATCTGAATAATTTATCTATCGTGTTTTTAATGTTCGGCTAATAAATATAAGGGGACCAACCCATATATTTAATATGGATTAATGGTAGTCAGGTTTACGCCGCTGTTTGTGAGAGGCACAGCACCAATGAGCACGCATTCGACTTTAATTAGCAATGCAAGCACCACCGGTCAGACCGCTCTGCACGCAAACACGCCAACCGACCTAGCGGCAAACAAACTAAAAGTAAAAGTTAAACATTTTCATGCAAATGGTTTTGTATAACCATGAAATATTTTCAACAACACCGCACACTCTCCCACACAAACGTACAAACATACAAACGTACATGTGTGTATGCCACATGTACAAACATATACATACAAGTACATACATACACATATACAGATACATACGGGCGTGACAGCCCCTAGCAAA